GGAATCTCAGATGGCAGAAGAGGAGGTCTCTCAAACTCCAATAGCCATTTTTGAAGAACCAAATGAAGCTGAAGATAGTGACTCACTCTCAAGATACATATCAAATTTTGCACTTGATGAAGCAGAAGGAGAATCTGAGAGGACACTAAAGATCACTGATGAAGAAGATGTGCAAGAAGATGCTGAATCTCTTCCTTTGCAACTCTTTCAAAGGACATCATCTCCTCATCAGGTAACCAATTTTCCCTTCCATAGCTCTTCCACTCATACTCTTCCGGATGAGATACCGGAAACCTGGACAAGGAAGGTCCAAGGGCTGATTGAGTCAGCCCTAGCATCTCAACATGCCTCCTTTAGGCAAGAGATAGAGCTAATGGAAGCCAAACACACTGAGCTGATAGAGAAATCTGAAAAGAAACACAGCGCTGATCTCAAAGAGATTAGTAAATCAGTAGAAAAGACTCTAGAGATCATCTCTCTATTGAGTAAAACTGTGAGCAATACGATGGAAATATACACCTCTAACAGTCAACTGCAATTCAATGAATTCAACAAAGTCAAGGAGCAAATAGCAAATGTCACAATTGGTCTGCAAAAACAGATGTCCCTTCTCCAAATGGACATCAGATCAGCCCTAGCTATAGCTTCAGCAAATCAAGTAGTAACCAAAGACTACTTGAAGGTGATCATTGACAATCAAAAGGAAGCTTACAAGCTGTTCAGACTTATTGGTGCACATTCTGGGAACCGCAAGATGGAAGTAATTCTCCAACAACACAGTCCATCTCCAATACCACAGCTCCCTATTGCAGTCAACGAAGGAGAAGCATCTTATGTCCCTTCTCATCTGCACATGACTAATCTGATCCTTGAAGCACAGCAAAGAAATTCGGAAAACTCAGCACAGCACCTATCCAGCTCAGGACTGGATGGAACAGAATTTATAGGTGCAGTTGCTGACCACTTCTCAGATGCTGCTCAAACAGAGGAAAGGCGTGAAAACTTAAGGCGCATCAAAGAACTGTGTGGGAACATGCACGGCATCAGTGAAGTTGCCGGATCTTCAAAACGCAAAAGGAACTGAAGGTTCTTTTCATCAAACCAGGGGGAAAGTATGTGAAAACATTTGTTTTGATGAAAACACCTTCTTGTTTAAACATTGCCTGATTGGTTTAAACATTGCTTAAGTATGCCTTAATTGTGCTTATTATGCTTGATTATGCTGATCTCAAGTATGATTTTGTCTTAATTATTTTTCTGAAGCGCATACATTCAGGGGGAATGTAATTCAGGAGGAACTTACCTAATTTTGGCTAACAATTATTTTTTTGGCAATAAATTATTGATAAGCTCAAAGCAATGGAAGACGGATATCTCAGTTTTGGTACTAAAATTGGAAATCTCCGATTCAGGTACCTTACACAATCTGCCTTCTTAAACTAAGTTTTAGTCCTTAATTCATTTCCAACCAGCTCTAAAAGTACTGGTCCCTAGGATGTTTAAAAATGTACAGGACTTTGGAAAAATAGTACCTCTTTTCTTTTAAATATTCATATTTGTTTTGGTACTACCTCGTCCTAAGTAGAAATTAGAACTATAGGGAATGAAAAATGATAGTCTTATTTTTTTTTGGGCCTTGAGAACCCAATAGGAATAATTTCCCTCTAGTACATAGCTTTCTTTTCTTTTTGGGCCACTCTTTTGGGCTTAGCCAAACCAGAACAGTTACGTTTCTCAAACC